ACGTAGGATCTGATTTTATTGAGCTTATTATAGTTTAGGCTGGTTTCATACACATAATAACGAAAAAAGGACTTGTACAGTTATGACCAAATTAAGCTCGAAAAATCCTGGAAAATCAGAAAAAATCATAGCTCTCAAACTTATAAAATGGTCCATATACATAGGAGTGATTGGGTTTCTCCATGGGGCGTTTGTCTTCTGGATTTGGCAGCGCAAACTAAGTATTTCATGATACGTAAGCTGTAATTCACGCATCTCACATCACCCAGAAGCAGCTTCGTTCCTACGCAAAAGAAAAAGTTCTTTCTCACCAGCATTAGCGGGTGTGTAAAAGCATCATGACAGGGCTATTAGTGTCGGTACTTCCCACTACGTATAATAGCAATTATGTTCTACTGACACCACTCCGCTTTTATCAGCTCATATCTAAAGATATTCACCTTTTGCTTAGCGTGTACATGCTGTGAATTAAAATGCTTGCCATAAAAGTAATCGTAGAGAAAACATATTTTCAGCTATGAAAATGTCTAAATGTCTATTCTCATGAAATGTTCGCAAAGGAATTTGGAGAAGGGTAGTCTTGGTTGACTGGTTAAGATACAAAGCACAAGTTAGTTGGTGAAAAAAATTACAATATGAAACACTTCATGAGTGGAAACATAATACTATGTTATATCAATAAATTTGTAATGAACGAAACGAAGAACTAACTTTCTTTCTGACTTAAACTGCTGTTGCTTTTTGTGGTTGCATGCTCGAGGGCTTTTGCTTTGCATGGAAATTTTAAAGCTGTGAAATAGTTTATTACACATTTAGGTTGTGAAGTAAACCATTATTGATTGACGAATGTTTGATGGTATTCGGACTCGGTCAAAATTGTGACGTTTTAAGCCATATTTACAATTTTACACTAACAATGCCGAGGTCTCTGAGTTGCCGATACCACAGAGTGCTTTCATTTCCGACCACTTTCCGATAAATATAGTTGAGCTAATATGGTGTTGATAGTAGACAAGAGCTTTATTAGGTTTCTACACGGAACCATCCCAGAACCGTTTTGAACTACCAGTAACTAATCTCAATGCGGCGCTGAAAACCACGAAACATTACTGCTCTGGGATACTTTCTTGTAGAAGCAGTAAACTTAATAAAATTTTGTAGTTCTGACATCCTCCTGGAATCATACTTATTTTGTCATCTTTTCATCTGGGAGTCAGGGATGTATCGCCTAGGTGGACCGGACATAGGATCTGAATTAACTCCTTTGTGACTCTACTATTTGTATTCCGTATGCTTTGACAATACAAAATCCAGTCTCGGTATGTAAATCCCCGCAAAAACATACATACAAAAAGTTCGTTTTAATGATTCATCGACTGGTAATGGATTTGGCCGGCTCGTTCGCAAAGTTTGTTTTAAAATCCGTGCCAGTTCAATGTTCAGAGCTTCGGGAGAGAAATATGAGCGAGGATTCGTCTGCATATTTTCATTAGGAAGTCAGTTTGAAAAGTTGCTAATGCACCAGGCGGTGTACCGTGCCGCTTCAGCCTTCTAACGCGCCGTTGCCAGCGTTTTATGTATATAAATATTCAAATAATCCCCGTCGAAATCAGATTATAAAAGTAAACTCGGCGTATGATGTTGTGGTTTTGTATTAACTCCGCTCTGGAACACCTGGTGCTCTTCCCAGCGCTAGCGCCAGTCGGCAATGATGGCGAAGCGCGATGCTCTAACTCTATCTCTTTCCATCCAGAACGTCAGCGGCAGTGGTGTGGTGCTAGTTCAAAATCAAGGGTTAAATGAAAAAGTCTAGCGTCTGTTGGAAGTCCTCGGGCGTACATCCAGAATTTTGAAAATCTGATCACAGATTCATCATGCTCCATATCATCGACTTATACAATTTCCAATACAAACTGTGTACACCTTGGGCATCTTTTAGATCCGATTTTACTAAGCCGAGGCGCAAAAAAGCACGTAGGTCACATGTTCGACCAATAAGAAGAATTAATCTAATGGATATGGTCGATGTCTGGTAAAATATTTCTCAAGAAAGAGAAAAATTATACGATTTGTGTAAGATGGGCCTCTAATTTCCATATTAAATCAAGAAGTACGTTAAACTTATATTTCCTGGACACTAAATGGGCGGCCATGATAATATGATGCACCAATAAAAAGCATATGCACCATACTCAAAGAATGGACACAATCTCTAGATTGATATAACAGCAATTAGACTTTCATTTTATTGAAAATAACAAACATCGAGTAAATAATCATTTTACTTACTTAATGTTAATAGGAAGATGTCGCGCACTCTACTGGACGGTAAGACTACTACACGACCACGCTGCGCCGCGGTAACCGTGGCAAGGCTAGAAGTTGTCCTACTACCCAGTAGGACTAAGTAACAATTTTTGTGTAATATTTAGGGATAAACTGATACAGGCTTTTGCGGATGTGTATCGGCCGATACGCATATTTCAAAGTTCGCTGCAACACGTCTCTGTAAGTCATGAGCTGGATACATGATGGCAAAAGTACTATCCTGAAATCGTTTTCAAAAAGCGTATTTCAAGGAACCAGTTGCATTTGATTTTCCGCATATTGAAAACTCTTCCATCGTCAAGTACGCTAGTAGTGATGAAAACGGATATGCGTTTGTTTTATCTGCGAAGTAAAAGAAAAAAAAACAGTATGTTTCCACCATTTGATCAGAGGTCGGCGCATAGCACTTACTTGAAGTAGTAAGTTTTCATTCCCATATAGGCATCGTGCATGAAAATATATGTCTGAGAGGTAACCAGTGCGACTATCGGACCACATATGGCAAGCTTTGCACAGCACCTTCTAATTGTGGAGCGCCTTTAGGAGTGCAGAAAACAGAGACCATTGGAGTACCATGGTCGACCATCGACCGTCAGACATTGAGAGCAGATAGAGAGACAGAAACAAGTAAAAGATACATTGATAAATCAAGTCTGAACTGTCAAGTCCGGTTGTACTCAGGCCCGTCTCAAGCTATGCAGGCACAAAGAAAGTTCTAGCCCTGCGACTAAAGGGGTTCTAGGCCAGAGCGAACTCCAAGGCCCTACTTTAACTTTACCATCTGGGGGCCCCGTCAAGCCGGAGCCCTGGGCACAGGCTCCGTGTGCCCATAGGGCATAGACTGAATAGATTGTGGAAGGGAAATCATCCTCTGGTCGATGATCATATTATCAACATCCTAGGAACAGAGAGGTGGTCCTACCGGTTATAGTTCTTGATGCACACTGACAGCATGAAAAATATAAGGTTGGCGAGTTTGTGTAGCAAGCGTCGACTTATCAATAATGAATACAGCCATCCATCAAAAACAGATGTGCGTCAAGATGTTTCTTATTTATCAAGGCACTATATCTCAAAGCGTGAAACTCCGCCAAATTCAGGCCTTTAGACCGAAAAGATTTCACTGCTCTCTACCCACCTCAACCTCAAAGCTTGATGTGGAAATTCTCTCACCAGACCTCATCCCCATTCATTTCTTCGTATGGGGCTGTATTTAGGAATTAGTGTTTTCTACTGAAACTCCAAGCGTACAAGTTATCAGAGAATGGATTGCTACTATGAGCACAGCCTCCACTGCAATCCACACATGATACATAGGGTTGCAAGCAAGAAACTTCGAACATCTGTAAATATCGCTTAATGTGGACACACAGAAGAGCTCTATTCAGAGCCGCAACATACAATCTGAAAAACAGTTTGAACCCTAAAGTTTGTTCATACAGTGGTGGATGAGTTGTCGGTAACTGTGTCTGGGATCCAGCCGTATGAATTCAGTGTAAATAGCGTAACAGAATGAACATAATTTGTGTTGCGGGATCTTGGACACGATCACTGACAGATTGGTGACAGCTGTACGAACAGGGCTATACTCACTTTCAATGATTTACTGTCTCCTATTTGAGTCACATAACGCTGGTAATTGGGCTCACAGGATTAGGTAATGTTTCACTGCTTCAGTAACGCTTTTAACATCCGAAATAATGTCAAGGCCACCATCTCCTGGTATGATTAGACCTAGAATTCATTCAGGTTTAAAGATCTATTATTACATAAGTGTCTGCTCATCCTATTTGGAAAGAAAAAGTACAACAATTCCTGTTAAAGTGTTATGTCTAAGAAATGGGAATATACTGATTAAGGTTACCTGCAGCATTTGGTCTACTTTGCACTGAAACTATTTAGGATATTTGATTATCTAATAGGTAATTTGAAAGTTCGTTGAATATGCTGTAATCTTTTTGACAACAGACAAAATTGTAGATTAGCCGATTGCTGTACCTACATTAACTGCACTAAATTTTCACTTACAGCTTTTTTACAGCGACACATCATTTGGGAACATATCCTGTTAATTCGATTGAAAAATAATAAAAGACAACTTCAGAAAAATAGCACAGTCTCAAAAATGGCGGTAACTCAAAAACCGTACACAATCGGAAAAAATATATGGTTTTTCTGATTGCAAATGCCCTCCCCCTATCAAACCCTTTCATTTGCTCCATAACTTTTGGGACACCCTGCATGTTTAATAAAAGTTTCACACTATTTTTTTATACTTCAGCTACCACGAAGGCCTAAGGCCTAAACATCCATCCGGTACCTCGGGGCTATTGTGGGATACAGGGGAAAGGGGGGAGATGCCACATGGACTCTAGCGAGGAACACTTGTGCATGCAGCATGCACACATTCTGGCCCCACCTATGAGATCCGTCGGGTGGTACCACCGCGTACGACAGTCAGAGATCGTCTACCACCTACTCTTCGATTGCTGTATGAGGATACCTATACTATTACGAGTATATAGGATTTTAAGATTACCGTATCCTCTTTCTAACACAGATCTGACATGCTCCGATAACATGAATGAATATTCTAGGTGCACACCCAAATTTTTTGTTACATCTCTTAGGATAATTTTTTCATGTTTTATGCTAACATTTATTTTATTTAGGCATCAGTTTCAAGCCTTGCTCCTACCAAAGAGTGTCACCACTGATTTCGAAGGGTTTAGTGATAGACAGCACTTCTCAGATGTCAATGGTATGTATTTGATAATAAAGTAATATCGGTTTGATAGACTATGCTGACCTGCCGTGCAACCTACCTGGAACAAAAAAAAAAAATGCGTGGAGCATATGAGCTAATAGCGGTCCTGTTGAGCTTTTGTAGGATCCTTTTGCGGTTTCTGCGCATCAGTTTTATCGTGACCCTGTGTGAGTTACGCGATGGGTACGAGTATGTGGTCAACATTATATGTATGAGTCCATTCACCTTCTGCACAATGCAGACGTATTGAAATCCATCGTTGTGATGATGAATATCATTTAATCGCTTGATTAATCAAGGAGGTCCTTTGATGACTCAATATTATTTTACGAATCCTTAATGTGTATAATTATAGTCATTATTACGCCATATTCCATGCATATGAAACACTAATTTATGATTGTAATAAAGTATCAAGACAGACTTAACTATGTTTTGTCTAACATTTTAGTCTGAGGATACTGGATTCTGTAGCAAGACTATATCATTAGGACCGTTGGGTCCCTGACACGTCCTTCAAGGTACTTCTTAACGGTTGGATAATGAATCAATCCAATTATTGAAGAATTGAATCTACTATTGTTAAGAGAATTGAGTAATTTCGAAGCAGGTACCCATGCGGTATGATTTGTACTTCGGAAAAAAAGCTTATTTGACCAGATAATCGCATGAAAACCATAGGATGAGTTTCAGGCACTATTTTTATACTGAAGCAGCCGCGTTGACAGAAACTTAAATATTAGAGCATGGCGGCTGCCATGAAAACCTTAAAGATACTTTGTCAATCCGATTTTTTACTGCTTAATGTTAGTCGAGCCCTAGTCACAAAGGATCGGTAGCATCAGACAGCTCGAGATGCACGAGGTTAAGATGGGAAGCGGGTCTGTCTGCCAGGCTCATCGCACGGTGGCATCATTTGACCCGCTGACATAATGGTAGAAGAGAGTTAGACCGGCGACCACCCGTCGGTGCGAAAGGGTCCCAGACTTTTTGCTAGAGAAGAGTCGTCGATCAGTTGGGCAGCCCTCCTCTGAACAGCATCGAGCATGGATAATGTAGTTGAGGCGGTAGCACCCCTAGCATGTGAGCAGTACTCGATGCTAGGTCTTACCTGGGCTTTGTAGAGAATGAAATTATGTGAAAAAAGTACTTCTTAGCCCTAAACAAATAGCTTAGCTTTTTACCAACAGCTCTCGACCGTTGGGGAAGGGGGTTCTGAACTCGACTTGTATGTTTTCTAGAGTGGGGTTTTGTAAGGAGCCTTGATGAGCAGTGTCGCACGATGTGTTGAACCAGCCGTTAGACCCTGGTTAGGCTCTTTCACTGTTTTCTTTCATCCCGACGTGTATAATCTTAGGCCCGTATCGTCAGTCGTCCCTACAATTGTAGGGCGCGTTTATGGCCTCCTTGGTTGTCATACCTTTTTCTCTCCTTCAAAAATTTCTAGATTGCACCTGTCCCGTGTCAGCGTCAGCGCTCTCCTATTGTGAAGATATGTTTTCTTTTTAAATTGTAGGAAATTTCAGGCTGATAAAACATGATATAACTCAAAAGCAAGCACAATTTGATGCAAATAGATGTTTGGGACATAACCTCAAAATAGAGCGCTGACACGGAGAAGTAGAAAACTATGACAATCAAGGAGGCCATAAAGGTGCCCTACAATTGTAGGGACGACTGACGATACGGGCCTTAGTTATTGATGAACACACGGCCGACGCATACGAGTCAGCAAAACAAACATATTTCCAAGGACAGGTGGAGTGAAAGTCTCTGAGCCCTCCTCCTCAATGGCATAACCTGTTGCATCGGTTTTGTTTGAGCCTAATCAGAGCTCTTTATGTGTATTGAAATCACCGAGAAGAACTTACCTCTGAAGCAGGATGATTGATACTCAAGAAGTCGATCTCGATAGCGAGATATTCAAGTAGGTCATCCCAGTTATGGTCCGAGGGAGAGCGATAGAGGTAGTAAACAAATTTTAGAGATAATTTGGAGTTGAGCCGGCCTGATTCCAAGAAGAAAAGACTTCTGCGGACAAAAGCCACAGCGTTTCCGTTTTTCTTCAAATTTTACTGCACCTCGTAATACAGCAAACTAAGATGGTTAGTTGGAACAGAATCGGAGATTTTGGTCTCCACTCAAAAAAGCATGCCGGGACAACTTGGCTGGAGACGTGAACAGCAACAATGTTACTGTTGATCTCACAGATGTGGGTGAAGGAGATTTTATTATCGATGTTGTTCCCTCGAGGATACCCTCAACCCAGACATCCGGAATTTTCAGTTCCAGAAGGATACATCTACTTTTTCCCTGTGAAGAGGATGGGAAAGAAGAAGAAAACCGACTGCCTAGCTTAGGTGTGGATACATGCGGACATTTTAAAGACACAATGAAAAAAACTAGCGAGTAGTACCACTTCGCGCGACTGGTCCTTGTCTACCACCTTCTTTTTGTTTATCAATGGCGTTAAATAGAACTAGAGTAGCCTAATGCCAGACCTCTACTCGGCAATCGACAATGACGTATTTCTTAGCGCATGTGCAATCATTTGAGCGGAAAGAAGTTTACCATTGGGGACTTATGTTACAAAGATTAGTTACCAATCTGATATCTCAGATATTCTTGTCTAGTTGAAGGTGTTCAGTCGCACCACTAAAGCTCGTGTCTGGACTCAGACGTTTCGTTACTACACCACTAGGTCAAAAGAGAAATTATTATTATCAAAAGAACGTCAACTAGAGGGTGTTATCGAATAGTGTCGATGAAGGCAGTTCTCATACAAAATTATGGTCTCCTTATGCAAGTCAGCTATGATATTACCCTTCGCCCAGGCTAGAATGGAGCTAGTAAAGGTACTCACAAATAACGTTGTGAGTTTGCAGGCTGCCTGGCTGCCAACAGTGCTATCCCAATATTTTTTGGTATTTTCAGGGTCAATTCTTAGGCAGGAGTGTCTGAATTTTAGTAGTACTTTGAGTCTGTGAGCTAGTAAAATCGTAGATTACCTGACGATTTAAAAGGTTCTCAATATGTCGAAGACCGAAGAAACTGTGCTAAATTTGGATGCAGCTACTCACAGCATTTGGCATAGCTTTTTTACTTTTAATATATCTGCTAGACTGCAAGCAATGATAGTCTGAAGATTGTCTGACAAAATGGCAGACAACCTCTGAAATAGAATTCTCCACCACGTAAGTAACAGACTGTGCTCGCTAAAGAATTATTTACATTTTGTAGCACCCGTTTTTATACGGTGCCTGCCATAATTATTATTTTTACACAAATAGTATATTACTTCCTACATGGCACACAGTTCTTTGGAACCCCTAACACCAGACATCAGGAGCGATTTTATGTTAAGGCATCAGTTGTGTCTATCACAAATGTTTTTTTCAATCTTCTATCTACGATCGAGCGGAAAAATGTACTGTATTTTTAGGCAAGTCACAACTGTCAGCTCACGGGCTTTATGTCCAAGGACGTTACAGTTACCTTAGCGCCCGCTATGGCTATGTTAACCTTAGTTGAACACGATATGGTAACCATCGGTGGCCTTTTTATTTCTACTTTTAATTCTACTTGAAAGATGCTCTAAATTTCTGATTTTAGCTGGGATTTGACAAAGCATGCCGTAATTGCCCGAGATATATAAATAACTATTTTGTGTGCTCTTTAAGTACAACTATCCTTCTAGTGTGGTATTTAACTACTTGTAAAACTTAGAACTCCTGGTATAACGGATGAAACCCCTTTGTTAGATTAAATACGATTTTCACTTCAACTGAGAGATTTGATTCATCTACGCCACATTCACGTCAAGCGATATTGGAAAATTGACAAGAGGAGCAAATATTTGTATTCGGCTATGCGGATGTTTGTCTGGTGACTACAGATGTTTTCTGTTCTCTGACAGAGCAAGGGTGAACATAATATAACCCTTACCCTGCCCTTGGCTATATGGTATCCGCAACATGCTGTATGATGAATTTTTCCTCCAGATATCGACACTTTCATCAGGACATCAAGGCAGTCGTCTCAAGGGGGAACAACCTTGCCTTATCTCTTTATCACAGGATTGTGATCGATTTGGGAGAAAACGGGCATTCCAATCCACGGAGTGTCCACTTATTCTTGGAATACCTATATATTCAAGATGGGTCATGCATTGTCGCAGGCTTTGTCTCAAGAACCGAATCACATTCAACATTGAGACGCTTCCGTATCTTGATATCAGAAAAAAAAGGCGTCAAGGAGGTCGACCCTGCACTTCCCACGAAAGGTTGTTATCAGTTCAGAGATGATTATTTTAGAAACAGGCTACCCTTCTAAGGGTTAACTAAGAACAGATAGGTGTAACAAAGATATTATATGACTGAAATTATTAAAGTATTCCCTAACAATAAGTCCCTAGTCATCATTTGGCAATACTGCTATTTAATCACGGTTGCGATGACTAAGCCTCAGCAGCAGCCAGGGCGCGACGGATTTGAAATCTATCTTCGTTGCGCTCATTCGGATCACCTAAACACAATGTCGGGTCGGCGCGGGTATTGGAAATATTTCTGTCTTGAAGGCAAATTTGGATGAAAATCTATGTATTAAATATATCTAATATTGACGTAGGTAGAATTACCGAGAGTTAAAACCGAATAAATCTACTAACGCCAAATAATTGAGATATACCCTCCATTAATTCCTGCAACTATCCTACCAATTATAACATTTCCAAAAATGTGTAAGAGTCTGCTTAACCACCAGAGAATTCACATTTGAAGAACTAAAAAAAAATTAATAATATTTTTCCCTGACAGCTGGTACATATCTACACATACAATAAATGATCAATAAGCTGAACTCCAGACAGGTGAATTTTACAAAAAAGTAATGGAATATACATATTTGTAAAAATTCAAATAGCCTGGCTGAAGAAATCATAACTGAAAAAAGTACAATATTTAATTTGAACTGTCCATCCATCCCTATTTTTTTAA